CTTCAAAACTAACCTTTACTTGGGCCAACAAATTCTCCCTTTTTGATGATGACAAACTCTGTGCTTTTCATACACTTAAGCCCTATTTCAACTTAGCTCAACATCAACACAATGTTAGAAATATTTTTCCTTTTTATCACTTATCATCAAGGACCAGGTACATTAGGTTATAAACATCACTGTTCAAAGTGTAAAGCACAACCTTTTTCCCCCTTTTGGCATCATCGAAAAGTTGCATAAAATGTAAGATAACCAGATTTTAAAGCTTACTCATGGCCACTAGAGCTACTTCAAATGCAAACATGGATTAATCATCATAGATCAAACTAAGAATTTCAACCATCAAAGAAATATAAACAAACAGTTAGAGCAAAAATAGCGAACTTCATTGATGATTGATAAGATTCTACCACAAAGCATAAGAAGAAGTAAAAATACTGAAAACATGAGCAAAAGAAACAAAACGTCCCGAACTGGGTCACTGGTTAATCTACACTAGGCTAGGATTTAAGGCTTGGAAGAGGTAGGGGCTGGGTTATTTGCTTGGAGAAGTTTCAGCATGTCTTGAAGAATTCCATCATTCTTCTCCTTTTCCCTTGCAAGTTCAGCTCTGAGAACATCTCTCTCAGATTGTACCTCAACCAATCGTGTCTTCAGCCTTGCTATCTCAGCATCCTTTGCCTTACTCTCCTGTAATAGAGCTCTAACCTTGCTATTGATAGGAGTCCTTTTCGATGAACCAGGTTCATTTGTGGCATTGACCTCATAATCGCAAGCAAGCAGAGTATTAACCCCACTTCTTCATAGGTACCTTGAAATGTGCAAGCACAGTTGTGAGAATGAAACCATAGGGAATGGCATGAGTTTTGGTGCCATTGATAACTCTATCAGTAGGTCCGCGAGGGTTTCCTGTTCAGATGGAACAGGTTCATCTATATTTTTCCCAAGTTGAACCAACCCCTCAGCAGCTTCGCCAGACCCCATTCCCCCCGTCGTTTTTGCTCACACTCTATTCTATTTCAGTAAATTCCTCTCCCCAAATAACCATTGCACTAGTTTCTTTTGTTAGACCAACATGAGCGGGTAAAGAATCAACCACTCTTGTACCTTTCCCCTCACAGTACTCCTAGCACCCTTGATCTCCTTTTTGTTTCCCTTTTTATTGTTACCACCAACTTCTCCAGATTCTTTAGTCTCAACACCTGCTATAGATCCTACCAGCACAAATCTATTCTCCAAATATGCAGCAACTTGAGAAATTGTCTCAGGAGTAACTTTAGAATCAGAAGATACCTGTTCAGTTTCGGAAGACCTACTTTCTTCCCCCTTAGTAGCAGACTTAAACGAATCTTCAGATTTCTAGGATTCTTCTTCCCTACCTGCTTTCAATTGCTTGTTTATTTTCTTGATTTGCTCTCCTTCAGCGACAATCTTACGAGCCATCATCTTTACTCTACTTTTCTTAGAGATTGATGTTGTAGAAGGTGTGGAAGTGGTTTCCTGTGGTGGTGATGAAGGATTTTCAGAGGTGTTTGACATATCTGGGCTAGGGTATGGAAGAGAAGAGAATTAGATTGTGTTTGGAAGATGAAAGAAGAATGAGAGTTTTTGACGACTTGAGAGAGATGAAGTAAGGAATACACTAAAGCTGATCAATATACAGAGGAATAATTGATGGGGTAACTACAACTTTTTAGACTCTTCAAAGTTTAATTAAACTGAAATTTAGTTTTGAAGAGACGTTGGAGTGTATCCCTAGAATCTAGATACTTCCATTCGGTTGGGACTCTTTTGAATAAGACTGGTTCACTTGTAACGGATAAGTCCAAAAGTAGTTTGGTATTTGGTAGGACTCTGCTCATGATCCAAATATAGTTATTTCAAATTATGCAGAGTGTAGAAAACATACCGTTTTATCTTGACGAACCAGGTTCTTCACTAATAATTCTCTTGTGTGAGTCTAAATTTGCCAAAATAGAGAAAATATCATTAGTGATTAATGAGTCATTTTAACACATGACACAAGAGTATACTATGGAAAGTATGAGACTGATCAAGATTTAATCTAATTATACAATTTACTGACTTTCTAACCAAAATTTATTTTTCATTTAACCTTGAACTGGTCCTTTTAGGTGATCTTAATCATCCCTAATTCCAACCTGTTCTTCTCAAAGTGATCTCTACTTAAGGCTTTTGTGAAGATGTCAGCAATTTGCTTGTCAGTAGCACAAAATTCCACAGTAGCCAAGCTTTTCTCATAGTTGTCCCTCAAAAAAATGGTGCCTAACATCTATGTGCTTAGTTCTCTTATGATGAACCGATTTCTTTGTCATACTAATAGCACTAGTGTTATCACAAAGAATAGGGATGCAACCACATTAATTCCAAAGTTCAATTATTGCTGTTTGATCCACAGCAATTGAGCACAACATGAAGCAGCAACAACATACTCCGCTTCAGCAGTAGATAAGGCCACTGAATTTTGCTTTTTGGTAGCCCATGACACAAGACATGAACCAAGGAAGTGTGCCATACCTGAGTTGCTCTTTCTATCCACAAGGAAACCTGCATAATCAGCGTCAGCATATCCCACTAGGTTAAAATTACTACCTTTTGGATACCAAAGGCAAAGGTCAGTGGTGCCTTTCAAGTATCTCAATATTCTCTTGACTACAGTCAAGTGGGACTTCTTTGGATTTTCTTGAAATCGAGCACAAAGACCTATACTGAAAACAATGCCAGGTCTACTAGAAGTAAGATACAAAGGAGAACCAATCATTCCCCTATACAACTTCTGATCAACAGATGAACCAGGTTCATCTATATCCAATTTCGTGGATGTTGCAATAGGAGCGTCAATTTCTTTGGATATTCCTTCCTGGTTTTGTTACTGAGGAATATGTTCATGGACAGGTTCCCTCGAGGTTTGAGGATCAGTTCCTCTCTAGTCAGTTCCCCCTGTCATGTTGCCATGGGTGGAAGGACCTGTTCCATTACCTGTTCCTTCCTGTGATGCATCTTCAGGCTGGTATGTGGTTTCACCATTTGAATTTTTTTATCAGCCCAATATCTTCATTACTTGTTCTTGCCTCAGAAAGAATAATTTTTTGTTTTAAAAAAAAATAACATATAACTTTTTTCTACACACATAGTTCTTTTACTGTATATCTTATAAGCTTTACTGTGTGAAGAATATCCCAAGAATACTCCCTCATCACTTCTGGGATCATACTTACCTAGGGAGTCTTTGCCATTATTGTGCACAAAGCACTTGCATCTGAATGCCCTAAGATGGGATATATTTAGCTTTCCCCCTTTAAGTGACTCATAGGGAATCTTCTTAACAAGAGGTCCAGTCATGCAACTATTTATGATGTAGCATGCAAAAATTCAGCAAATTTAGCATTTTCAAATTCAGTTCCATGATAAGAACTAATTGATACAAGTTGATTACCTAGTTGTTTCTGAGTTTTTTTTTAACAAAAGAAGTAAACATGTCAAATGCTTCATCTTTATATGTTAAAAACAATGTCCAAGTAAATCTAGAGTAATCATCAACAAGCACTATCACATATCTTTTACCACCTCTGCTTAATGTTCTCATTGGACCACAGAGATCCATATGGACCAGTTCCATCGTTCTGGTGGTGCCTACCACTTTCTTGCATTTAAAAGAGGATCTTACCTGCTTCCCCCTTGCACAAGCCTCACAAACTTTGTCTTCCTTGAACTTGATGTTAGGCAGCCCAATCACCAGATCCTTGGAGACTAATTTGTTGAGTTGACTCAGACTTGCATGTCCAAGTCTCTTGTGCCAAAGGAGGGGATCATTGTACAACACACTTAAGCAAGTGCGTTCATTTTCTGAAAGTGTGGACAAATCTACAATGTATGTATTGTTTACTCTTTTTCCCTGCAAAACAATCTTGTCAGCGGTAAGATTAATCACAAAACATTTGGTAGAGGTGATTACTACCAAGTTACCTCTATCACATAATTGTGATACACAGATTAGACTGTACTTTAGGCCATCTATCAAGTAGACATTCTCAATAGAGTGAGAATCAGTCTTACCTACCTTTCCAACCCCAATGATCTCATCTTTCTTCCCATTTCTAAAGGAGACATTACCTCCTTTGAGGTCCTCAAGTGAAAGGAACTGGTTCTTGCTTCCTCTCATATGCTTTGAACAGCCACTATCCATGTACCATATTTGGCTGCTCCCCTTCACTTGGACCCGAAAAAGGAAATCAGGGGTTAGTCTTAGGAACCCAAACTAGCTTGGGTCCCTTTCTATAGGCAAAAGGGTGAATCGGATTCTTTTTAGCCCAACCTGGCAGTCTATTTTTCTCTTGAATAAATTCTTTATTCTTTTGACTAGCCTTTTCTTTTGCAATACATTCACTTTTATAATGACCAGTTTTACCACAGCGTGTACAAATTATATTCTCAGGAAGTGTGAGGTACTTGCTTTTGGGATCCCACTTAGGTGCAGGGGTCCCGTAGCCAAGTCCTCTCTTATTGCTACTATGGTGTTCATGTAGCCATGAAAGTGCATCGGAGGACCTATTCCATTTACAAGTTCTGTCTAGCTCGTGCTTAACCTTGCCTAGATCCTCCTTAAGGACTCTTATCTGCTCATCTCTTTTGTACAACTCGTCTTTCCTTTTTCCTAGGTTTTCTTCTAATGTGAGTTGTGTGTGATCAGCTTTCTATTTACCTGTTCCTAATTTCAGTTTTAGATTTTCAGATCTTAGCTCTAGGACATTGGTGTTAAGTTCATGAACCTGGTTCTTTAACTCAGCATTTTTACTATCACTTTCACTAGCCCTAAGTTCCAGATTTTTGCACTTAGCTTTCAAAATCACACACTCCTTAGACAACAGTTCCTTTTCATTGTTTAGATCCTCAGATTCATCAATGAAATCCAGGAGTAACTCAGATAGACTTTTTTTAGACAAAAATTTAATCTTGTCTTTGAGATGAATTATACTTACCTCCGATTCCTCATCGGATTCTCTAATTGCCATGAGTGCTTGTTCGTCTCCATCTTCATCCTCTGAGTCCTCTTCTGAGCTTTCTCCCCACGTAGCAACCATAGCCTTTGTTGATCCTTTGTTCTTCTTGGGTTAAACCTGTTCCTTCTTCTTGTTCCTTCGTTCAGTTCTTTCCTTCTTCCATTCAATTTCCCATTGAGGGTAGTTTTTGATGTGGTGATCAGTCTTCCCACACTTGTAACACCCCTCATTGGTTTGTTTTTCAGGAACCCTTGGTTTGCTGTAGCTTCCACTTCTTGAAGGACCCTTTCCTCTCATTAAGTACTTCTGAGGCCCTTTGTGATCATGGTCATTTCATTCTCCTCTAGATCAACACCTTCAATGATTCTGAATGCTAGGCTCCTTTTCTTCTTGGGTGCATCCATCTTCATGGTTTGCCTTCTAAGTTCATAGGCAGTGAGATTTCCAATTAGCTCATCCAACTTAAGAGTGGCAATGTTCTTTGATTCCTGAATAGCTGTGATTTTGCTTTCCCAAGAGAGTGGCAGAACCCTTGTCAAAATCTTCTCAACTTTATCTTCTTCAAGAATAACCCTTCCAAGAGATTTAAGTTCACTTGTTAGTGTTGTGAACCTTGTGTACATCTCCTGGATGGTTTCTCCTTCCTTCATGGTGAAATTCTCATATTGAGAATATAGCAGTGTTCCTCTTGATCTCTTTACTTGAGGAGTTCCTTCATGAGCCACTTGTAAAGTGTCCCATATCTCCTTAGCAGTGGTGCAACTTTGAATCCTGCTGTACTCGTCTGGTCTTAGTCCACACACAAGCCATTTGTTGGCCTTGGCATTCTTTTCCCATTTCTTCAAATCTTCAGCAGTGCAGTCAGCTCTTGTCTTTGGCACGTCCACTCCTTTAGCATTCTTCTTTGTACTAGCCAGGGGACCATCAGTGACTATGTCCCAGAGTTCATAGTCTTCTCCTATGATGTGATCTCTCATCCCGTTCTTCTACCACGAATAGTACTGACCATTAAAGAGTGGGGGCCTAGCAGTGGATTGCCCTTCCCAGTTTCCAGGTGGTGCACTCATCTTGATCTTTTCCTAAGGTGTTAGCCTCTTCAAGGATAACCCGCTCTGATACCAATTGATGTTCTAAACGTCAATACTACACAAGAGGGGGGGGGGTGATTTGTGTGGTACCCAATTTTCGCTTATCTGAAGTATAAAAGGACCTGGTTCTTCTAGGTGTTCCAACTACTGCTGTTTGCGAAATAATAAATACAGAAAATAAAGAACACAGAGATTTTTACGTGGAAAACACCTGGCTCAAAAGGTGAAAAACCATGACCTACTACTCAGTAGGATTTTCCCGAACTTCCACTAAAATCACTGAGCCAAAACAGCATTTACAAAACTCTTTGTAAACCTAAGGATTAACTCTAATCCCGTTGTAGCAACCAGCCTCTAACTGTTGCGACAACTTCAAGTTAATTCTAACTTGAGTACTCAAAGTACCTATTACAATTGCTTCTAAATAAAGCTGAAAGGTACAATATGAAAACACATACTACAATTGAACTAGAAATAAAGAAAGACACATAAAACTCTTTATGGAGCTGGTTCTTCAATCTGGTTCATGTAGCTTCAGGTTTGCACCCTTGAATCACACACGAACTGCTTGCAAAAAGCCTTGCTATTTTGATCTCAATTCACGTTTAACTTCTGCATTTTTGTGCAACACTGTAATGTGAGGACATCCTGCAATTTATAGAGTTAGTAGATGAAAAAATAACTAGAGTTTTGATGCAACTCTTCCTTGGTGGAAGAGTTCTAGTTGATTTCAACTTCTAACTCCTTCCGTATCTTGGATAGTGTTCTCTTTGATTAAGGAGTCCTTCTCCTTATAAATTATGCAACCTTTTCGATGGGAGATATTGAATACACCAAGTTAAGCTTATCTCCTTCACATGCATCCCACATGCTCGAATCTGCCCGTTTTTGTGCACATGAGGGATGGACCAGCGGGATGGACCTGGTTCATGTCTGAGTTCCTTTGTCAGTCTTCAAAACTAACCTTTACTTGGGCCAACAACAGGTATTCTGGGTACAACCAAATCTTGATTGCTCCGGAAGATCAGGAGAAGACCACTTTCACTTGTCCAGATGGCACCTTTGCCTTCTCTAGGATGCCTTTTGGGTTGTGTAATGCACCTGCTACATTCCAGCGGTGTATGATGGTCCTTTTCACCGATTTGGTGGAAGACATTTTGGAGGTGTTCATGGATGACTTTAGTGTCGTGGGTGACTCATTTGATGAATGCTTGAAGAATCTAGATAGGGTGTTGGCCCGATGTGAAGACACCAATCTTGTGCTCAATTGGGAGAATGCCACTTCATGGTTGAGGAGGTCATAGTCCTTGGCCACAAAATTTCAAAACATGGCATAGAGGTGGACATAGCTAAAATAGAGGCGATTTCAAGGCTTCCTCCCCCCACTTCTGTTAAGGGGGTTAGAAGTTTTCTTGGGCATGCGGGGTTCTACTGGAGATTTATCAAGGTTTTTTCGAAGGTAGTGAATCCTTTGTGCAAGCTATTAGAAAAGGATGTCAAGTTCGTGTTCGATGAGGGATGTATGCAAGCATTTGAACTTCTCAAGCATAAGTTGACCACCACCCTTATTATTACCGCACCCAATTGAAGCTTGCCTTTTGAGCTCATATGCGACGCAAGTGATGTTGCGGTTAGGGCAGTTTTAGGGCAAAGAGTGAGTAAAATGTTTCATCCGGTGTACTACGCGAGCAAGACAATGAATGATGCCCAAAGGAACTACACGGTAACTGAAAAAGAGCTGTTGACTATTGTGATCGCAATGGAAAAATTTCAGCCGTATCTCATGGGCGCCAAAGTCATAGTGCACACCGATCATGCCGCTCTTAGGTATTTGATGACGAAGAAAGATTCCAAAGCTAGGCTGATGCAATGGGTCTTGTTACTTAAAGAATTTGATTTGGAAATTGTGGACCGAAAAGGTAGTGAAAACCAAGTCGCGGACTTGGAGGAGGAAGGGAGGCCGTGTGATGGCCTAGAGATCGATGACACATTTCCCGATAAACAACTACTTTCTGTGTTGATGAATGATATGCCATGGTTTGTAGATGTTGCTAATTTCCTTGTGACTGGTATAATCTCGTGTTTAGCTCTCTTCTAACCAAAGGAAGAAGCTCAAACGAGATAGTTTGGATTTCTATTGGGATGAGCCGTACTTGTTCAAGATATGCACCGACGGAGTGATACGAAGGTGTGTTCCAGAGGAGGAGCAGTTGAGTATCTTAGAGGCTTGTCACTCCTCTCCCTATGGTGGCCATCATGGCGGGGCGAGGACAACTTTGAAGGTTCTTAGTTGTGGGTTTTACTGGCCAACTTTGTATAAAGATGCAAGTGAACTTGTGAAGAGGTGTGACGAATGTCAAAGAGCGGGTGAAATTTCGAAGAAAGATGAGATGCCTCTCAACACCATTCTAGAAGTTGATATTTTATGTCTGGGGTATTGATTTCATGGGCCCGTTTGTAAGCTCATGTGGGAACACATACATTCTAGTGGCGGTTGACTATATTTTAAAGTGGGTCGAGGCCGTGGCTTTACCCAACAATAAGGCCCGGAGTGTTGTTGCGTTTCTCAAAAAGAGCATTTTTACAAGGTTTGGCACTTCTCGTGCAATCATAAGTGATGAGGAGTCGCATTTTTGTAATAGAGCTTTTGACACTTTGCTTGCAACGTATGGTGTCAATCACAAAGTTTCTACTTCTTATCATCCTCAGGCGAGTGGCCAAGTTCAAGTCTCAAACAAGGAAATCAAGAGTATATTGTCAAAGACGGTCAATGCAAATAGGACCGATTGGTCCAAGAAATACGATGATGCTCTATGGGCTTATAGGACTGCTTACAAGACTCCGATTGGTATGTCTCCGTACCGGTTGGTGTTTGGGAAAGCATGCCATCTTCCGGTTGAGTTAGAGCACAAGGCCATGTGGGCCTTGAGGAAGCTGAATCTTGAATGGGATGTGGCAGCAAATCTTCGTGTGGTGTAGCTTAATGAACTTGATGAATTCCGAATCCATGCCTACTCTAGTTCGTCCTTGTACAAGGACAAGATGAAGTACCTTCATGACAAGTATGCTCGTAGCAAGGAGTTCAAAGTGGGTGATTTGGTTCTCTTGTTCAATTCTCGGTTACGTCTGTTTCCGGGAAAGATTAAGTCAAAATGGAGTGGACTTTTTGAAGTAGTGCTTGTGACTCTGTTTGGTGCACTTGACTTGAAAAAAAAATGGTGAAATCTTCAAAGTTAATGGACACAAAGTCAAGCACTATCTTGGCAAGATTGATGACAGCCACGTGGTGGCAATGATCCATCTCAAGTGATTTGATGGTAACCTGCATCGTGCCGCGACGTTAAATCAGGCGCTTCTTGGGAGGCAACCCATGTGTCTTTCTTTTTGTTTTTCTTTGATTTTATTTTTAGCGTAGGATTTATTTTTGGACTAACTGGTTTTGAGATGTTGTAGGATTGTTTTGATGCAGTGCAGGACCAAGTTTAGAAAAATGTGCACTCTCTAAAGTCTGCACTGCGGCCGCATTGCATTTTGTGCGGCCGTAAAGGCCTTAGTGCGGGGACAACAATTCAGTACGGACCGCAGTGTTAAATGGTCAAAAATGAGGAGTCTCTAAAGTTTTCCACCGCGGCCGCAATGCATTTTGTGCGGTCCACGGTGGACCACTACGGCCGCATTGCATTTCTTGCGGTCCGCAGTGGATATCTCCCCAGTGCCACTTGTTTCTGAGTACCGTGGACCGGTGCCTTTTTGTGCGGTCCCCGCTGGGTAGGTGAGATGGGCCCGAGTTCCTTTTTCTATAAATAGGACCTGAGGCCCTCATTTCAAACTTTTCGACCATTTGCACTCAAAAGATAAAAAATCACTGTTCATCACTCATACCTGCTTGAATTCAACTGCTAAGTCTCATTAATATACATTGCATCTCCTTCTGGTAATTTTAG